GAAAAAAAAAAACTTTTTTTTCTAATTGTAGATGGATATAATACCTTTATTTTATTTATATATTTTTATGTGGTGGCTGAGGATCGAACCCCATGCTTCCCACATGCCAGACACGTGCACTACTGCTGAGTCACAACCCCAGCCCCTAGATCTGCATTTTTAACAAATGGTGTTTCCAGGTGGTGCTGATACTGCCTCTGGGGATCACAAAGATAAATATACAGATTAGAGGGATTTTACCTATTGTTATCAAGACCAAACCAGGTACAAATTAGACAGGGCTTATTTCTGTTTATGTGTGCCAAGTGTCACTGTTATATGCCTTGGGAGTGATCCAAAGCAGAAATTCCTCTTGGTGCTATTGTCACGAAAGAGCAGGACCTTACAACTCTGTCTTTCCCTACCCTTCTTGGTCCCATCCTGACCTTGGCTTTCTCGTGGATCAGCTCCCTGATAGGCAGTTGCAACAATGTCTGTTACTGAATCTCTTTCTTTCCCTCCAAAAGACAAAACATTCTTGCATCCCAATGACAGTTGAAAACCTCAGGCTACTGGCCCATTTTTAAAAAGGTCTATTCAGTAAAATCAAAGGAGGAGGAGATAACTGGAAGGCATTTCAGCCTTTAAAAGTAAGTATAAGCCACTTTGTTTGGGAAAAGTTTTGCAGTCACAAGGTGGATATTTTCTCACACTGGAAGTAAAGACCATAAATGAGAGTAAAGTACATTCTTGTATTGGCTGTAATCAGTTTCAAGCTAGCTGAGTTCACCTGAGCTCAAAGTGCAACAATGTGAAAGTCAGAGACTTAAACCTGAGTCCAGAGTTGAATGCAGGACAAGAAGTGAAAAGAAGGGCCCTGGAAGAATGTTGCAAATATATCCTAGAATTAGTACAAAACACAATTTATTGCCACCATTTATTTTTCTTTCTTTTTTGAAACATTCCTATTCCTTTCTGACTTTCTGTAACACTCTTTATATCCTTATATATCCTCAAATTTTCCTAGGCTACTCCTTGACAATATTTTATTCAGGTTACAGGTAATATGAGGTGTTATCTGCAGAGATTTAAAAACAATAATAAAACCTACTAAAAGCCTGCTTTAAAAAAATTATCATGCACCAGTAAGCCTGAACAATGTTAGTAATAAAATTCCCCCTTCACTGAAGCACACAATCCCACCTGACCACACTCTTACCTAATCCTTTCAAGTTTTTCTTAATTGAAAGCCATTGCTTCCCAGGTAACACTACTTCTATTGTAAACCCTTAAAGTAGAGGGTACCTGTGAATAGGAGGCTGCAATTTTTTGTCCCCATTGACAATTTTAGAAACGTTTTACTCATTGACTTTGGGATGATGCCATCATTTCTCTATCATGGTTCTTGGAATCGCTACTGGCTGCCCAGCTCATGTCCAACATTGACTGAAAATCATTCAAAACTTCATACAGTTCCTTGCTTCCAGCATTCGCCTCACCTGTGCTTCAACAATCCATTCCTAGACCAAACTTGGAGCATGGTGTCACTTAGAACTCTTATTCTGCCAAAATCTTAAACTAGGGATCCTGTTTTATGGCCAGTCTCTGGGGTCACTGCATTAACTTAGAAAGGCTAAGAAAGTCACTGCCCAACTCCAGGAAGCATCATTCTCATGAATAGCCTGCCAGCTTCCCATGTTCTCCCTCAATCTCACTCAACCAGCTTCAGCTTACCAATTTTCCAGTTTTTCAATATTTTCTATGTACCCTGTACAGACTAGTAAGTTTACTCTTGTGAAGTTTCCCATAAAGTTTCATTTTATCTCTACCTTTTCTCCCATGCCAGGACATTCAGTCAGGTTTGATTTCATTCTCTCTCTGGTTTTGGATCTCTGGATCTACCTTTTCAAATGCAGTGTCCTTAATTATCTTGCCTTCTTTTCTTTGCACACGCACCCTGCCAAAACCCAGGTCCTAAGTCTTTTTTGAATTTATTATTTTGTTCCCGGTTCCTCACTTCTCAATTTGTCCAAATCTCCCTGCAGTCCAATATTTAATAACTTATAATATGGATATAAAGATGTTAGCTTGAAATATCCATGGCAACAGTCATTTCAGCTAAAGACCTAAGGAAAGTACTCATAGAACACATAACTGAGCAATACAACTTTCTCAGACCACAAAATCTTTTGATCCTAGAAATTACATTTAAGTAAGTGACTGAGTGACTTGTCTTCGGAATTAGTAACTATAAACCACTTTGTAAGTTGAGGAATGTCTTCTAAAAATAATGACTTTAATATTAGGATAGATGATTTTTAAAAATCCTTTATTTATAACAATAATTGTACTATTATGGCCAAATCTAGATTTTAATAATTAAACCATATTATGATGGACATCTGATGTTTTTCATCTCTCTAGCATCAACCTAGTAACATCAAAACCCATTCATCTGCAGAATTGCCCCTCCTTAGTAGGTCTGTTGAGGAATTTGAGAACTTTTCTATCATGGTATTAAGGGTTTACTTATCACCAGGTATGATTAATAATATCACATTATAAATATAATCACAGAAGCTGGCCCTGAGTGAGCCACATGGCTTCAGGTGAGCCAATTAGAATCTGGGATTTATGTTTGGATACTAAAAAAGAAAATCTTTCTTTTCTTTCTGTGGTCAGTAAGCTAGAATGATATATAATTGAGCCTTGGAGTTGTTTGTAGCTATTTTTTCTCTTCTCTCCACTACCCAGTCCAGACACACAGAGGAAATCCATTTAGGCACAAGGACAGGCAAAGGACTGAGAGGAACCAGAAGATACCATTCGAATTCCTGAGCCAAACTTATTCCTGGGTCCCCATTCCTATGAATCAATCCAATCCCTTTCTGTCAAAGCTAGTTTGAATTAGATTTTGTCAGTTGCTTCTGAGGAATCCTGACTAGTAAGCATATCTTCTATGTATAATGGAATATGTATCATTTTATCCACACAACAGAAGGACATGTTACCTAGATGTTTCAAGTGGGAATCAGTTCATTTCTCAAATTGATGGCCCATGGAATGTTAATATTCCACAAGATGTTAACATGTGTGCCATGAGAAATGTGTTGAAGTAAGTTAGAGGGAAAATAAGTTAAACAAAGTGAAATAGACTTCTTTACAGCATATATTTCAGAATATTTATGATAATTTGATGGTATGCATAATGAATCTCTAAAAGGAGCAGATAAGCTTATTGCCCAAATTTATCTGATAACAGAAACCTTTGTCAATAAAGCCCAGTTTGGGGAATATTATTTGCCATTTTATGAGTTAGCAGGAATGTTCAAGTTAAAACACTAATGAGAGGGCTGGGGTTGTGTCTCAGTAGTACAGAGCTCACCTAGCACGTGTGAGTTGCTGGGTTCAATCCTTGGCACCACATAAAAATCAATCAATCAATCAATAAAGGTATTGTATCCAACTACAACTAAAAATATATATTATATATTTATAATATATATATATATATATTAAAAATGCTAATGGGCATAGATACATAACCCATTAATCCACATTATAGTTATTTGTTTTCAGGTCTTGCTTTTCTGCAATAGTATGCATTTCTCTAAGTATAGTGGCTATGACATAATCTCCTTTGTATTCCCAACAACTAAAAAAGTGCATAAATTATAGAAGATACACACCAAAAAATGAAAGAAAAACAAAACAAATGATGAATGAAATATAAAAGTGATGGAAAACATTCCATTGAATGTCTTAAGATGTAGGTAAATAACAGGACATAGGAGTTGACAAAACAAAAATTTAAAGATAAATTAAATATATAATCTTCCATTAAACCTACCTAACTAGTGGGCAATACTTTGTAAAATATCTAATCATTTGAGAAGTTGAAGGAGAAGTTGAACTACTGGAGAACACATCTGGTGGGTAGTTCCTTTGGACAATCAGGAACTACGAATGCTAAAGGCCCAGCTCAGAAACAACATCCATGGCACAGACTTGCTCTGACTGTGATTTCAGAGTGGCAGCCCAGGCAGGCATGGCATAATGGTTTTTAGGATTTTCTATTATGAACTCACAAAGGTCACCCAGCATTTATTTGCCTAATTACTTCCATATGTTCATTTTGTCAACACTTATATGTGAAGCACCACATAAGCAAATGTGTAACCACAATATTTCTGCAAAACAAAACAAAAACCCAGAGCAATTGAAAATACCTATCATGTAGACCAAGGCAGAGACTAAATCTAGATTTTCAATACAATATATGCAGGAACCTGCTACTTGCCATATGATTTCACTAAGAAAAGACACCTGCCATTTGACACTAATTGGGTAATTTATCCAGTGAAACTTGAACTCACAAGTGTGTGTAGACATAGTTTAACTTCACAATTAAAATGTATTACATTTTGTAAATCTTTAAGATGCTCAATTATAATTTTAATTGTTATGTGAAAAAGAATTCATGTTTCGGTTTACCTCACAGAAGCTTTCATTAAATTATTATGCCACTCTGGTTTGTAAAGAAGTGCTTTTAAAGATAAGAAAATGATAAGCACAGGTGATTAGGTTCTTTTTTTTTAAAGTTTTTTTCCCTGAAGAATTTTTATAAAATATATACAATTTCTGATGCCCCAAATTTCAAAAAGAACCTCTTCAGAATCACAAATACTGAATCATTTTGTCAGCATAGAACTTTTATAAACCATGCAAATAAAATACAAAACCATATTATCAAATCATAACATACCATTTGGTTTTATTGTTCTAACTTCTCATTGTGAGAGCTGATTTTAATGGGCTCCCATTCTCTAGAAATGGCTGTATTTTGATGAGGGAGCTGGTTCCCCTTCTTTCACAGTGGAGTTGCTGAGTGTGGCACTGAAACCACAAAAGCAACAAGTCCTCTCCCTCAAACAAATGATTTAAGTAAATAAGAATAACGAAACTTGGCTTTTGTGATACTGTTTGAAAATCCCTCTTAGACTCTCTTTTTTCCTTTCCAGGTCTCTCAGAACTTCTGTAGTCAGTGAACATCAAAAGGACCAAAGATTTGTAGAGTGATCCAGCTGCCTACGGCAATGAAGTCAACCCTGATTTTCTTTCAGCCTGGGAAATGCTCAGCCAAGAGCCTTCACAAACAGCCTCTTTAACATATGAGTTTAAAAAAAAAAATCAGTGTAGCAGAACAGTTACTTTCATAAACACCTTTGGGGGTTTTGCTTTCTTTAAAAGTAACCTTTCTAATGCCCCATCTAAGAACATTTTTAAATGTTTTCTTAAGCAAAAAATTTTGTTAGGCATTTACTTTTAAAAATGATAAAATATACTTGGCTACTGCATGTGACTTTTCTAGTACTTTTTTCCTTTGGCTCCCTTACATGCTGATTTAGTCCTGTTGCAGCTCGATTTTTTAGCTAGCTTCTTTGGTGATTCTGCCCTGCTGCGCCTCCCTTAGCTATCTCCTTTCTGTTTTAGAATCCAACGTTTGGGGTTGAGCCCTGGTATTATTGCTCCTTTTTTTCTTTAGAGATACACACCTCCTCCAACCAGTGCACTCTGGGGTCTTGCCCAGTGAACCTTGGCGTTTGGACATTGAAGAGGAGTAGCTGCAAAAGAAGCCTGTAAAAGAAGCAGGGGAAGGTATCTCAAACAAGTTGGTGACGTAAACAAAATAGATATCTAACTCTTAGGAAATTTTATTTTAATAAATCTTATAATAACCAAATACTGTCCTATTTCTGTACACCTGACAATGGGCATCAAGAGGTGGGCTGTGTCTCTATTCATATTCTGCATGGAGAGTAAAGAAACAGCATGAGAGCCTCCTTAGAAAAAAAAGCTGTCTCTAGTCACAAGGACTTCTCAATGGTCAGGCCCAGGAAACACAGACCTGGCTCTCCGATGGAGCCTAATCATGTAACTCTATGCAAGCAATAAGCCCTCAGGAAAGCTCACTTAGTCCATGTTAAGCTGATAAAGGAGTAATAATGTTGCCCCTCAAAAGTACATTATTACTGTAAATAAGCCTCTGGGTACTCTAATGACTGATAAACAAACAAACAATCCACTATTTCAATTTCTCTAAAAGCTATAAGTTGATGTCTGTAAAATTCTAATTTCTTAAAGGTATAGCCAACCTTTTTATGCTTTACTATTTTTTGCCTTGTGCAAGTAACACTTTCAAATGCCTGGTCCATATCCCATTTCACATATATGAAAGGCAACTGACATTTCTTTCCAAGTGACTCTTCATTATAATCTTTATTGTCCTTTCCCAGATGTCACAATTCCTATCTGCCAGATTCCCCATTATTTTAAAAGACAAGAGTATTTCCTAAGGACTCTTTTTGAATATACATCTTCCTCTGATATGTCTCTGGTTTCCCTAAAGATTGTCACAATCAACAAATCTGCCTTCTGCCTGGATCTTTGGTTTTGAAAATAATTTTATGACTTTAGACAGGCACAGACAATATTTCTCACTTATGTGAATTCTTCAAGCAGAAACATCTTGCTTGTACTGCCCTAATTCTAATCAAAAAGTGTTCACATGGGGAAATTGGCATAATTGTGGATAGAGACAAATCTTTCTGAAAATAGGCCAATTGCCACACATGACCAGAGGAAGACTCTATTCTGAGCCTAGTCTAACATAAAACAAGTTATGGAAGTCCTAGGAAGGTAGGGTTTACAGAGTAATACTCTGATTAAGTTGTACTAACAGCTCCCAGTATATATATATATATATATATATATATATATATATTTTTTTTTTTTTAAAAGCCTCATAAAACCTTGCTCTTTTAGAAACATTTAGAGATTTCAAGCCCACACATACTCAGCTAGTAATGATAATCTTTTCTCTGTTTGTGGGATTTGGAAGAGCTACAAAGAATAAAGAGCCACAATATTTTGACAAAATGATGTATTTTTGTCTAGGTATATTTGATGGGATCTTTTTGACTTTCCACCCTTCAATCAATAAAACATTATAAATGCAAGCATGTTGAAGTGTATAAGGGATTTATAGGAATACTATAGATAAATATACATACTGATTAGGTATATATATAAGAATTATATTTCTAAGATCATTTATTTGAATAAAAGATTGCAGTTTTAAAGGCAGCCTTATGTATATTATGAAGACAGATTCTCTATAAAAATAATTTATTGCTCAACTAATATTTAAACAATGTCATTCACATTGTTTATGTTCTGATTAAATGAGAAATCAAGCCAGTAATTTTTTAAAGTTTAATTAGGATTTACACTCCACCTGCTTCGAAATGAGATTTGAAATGATATATAGTATTAAACACAAGGTAATATAGCCACATTAGAAATCAAAGATACAAAACCAAGTAAAAAAGGAGATGTTTCCAAGCAACTGCCACAAGTTAATTGTCACAGCTGGGCCATGAATTTGCTTCTCCCAGGAGTCAGTACTTGCTCCCCAGGTGGGATTGCTGAAACCCTGCGCCTGTTCCACAATATGTTTCCAGACCTGTCTCACCAGCAGGGGTCCTGGATTAATTGTATTGTTGTATTTCTCAGAAAATGCTTGGTGAACTAGTTGCACTGGAATCTGCAAGTGCTTATTTTTAAAATTAGGCCTGGCCCAGTTTGTTTGGGGGGTAGGGTTCTGGAACCTGTATTTTCATATATCTGCCAAGTGATTTTTTTTTTTCTCAATAGCCTGGAAGCGACTGCCTTGCTGGGATTGATGCCTGTTGCACGGGAACTACAGAAAATACAGCATCAAGGAGATAGAGAATTATTCTAGTGACTAGTCCATTGGATGTTTTCTGCCTTGCCATTTTTTGCCCTGTGCTAGTAATACTTTCAAATGCCTGATCCATACCCCACTTGATTTTTTATTGTGGATGGTGCCATACACTTGGCCTTTTCTGACTGTAATATGACTCTATTTCCAGCATCCTATCTCCAGCTGCTCAGCCACTCTTTTACTCCATAGACTCCTGATGATTTGGGGTGTTCCATAATCTGATGATGATTGCTAAATTCACTTTGACAGGTCCACATATGCTACAATCTCTGCTTGTCTTGCCTGGGATCTGTTCATTCCATTGCTGGTCATGGCCATTTATGAGATTCTCCCTCGACCAGTGCCCCATATGGAACTACGTAGGAAAAACTTTCTGATCTTAGCTCTTCAATGCTTTCCAGTTTATTTGTTTTATTGGCTTATTCTCTGGATTTGAGGTACACATCTGATGTTTTTCCCACTTTCCAAATGCTCTCAGACCATAGTCTACTCCCCATGTTATTTTCCATTTTCCCTAATATATTCATTGACTTACTGGCTTTAGAGGTCTTAATGCGTTTGACAATTTCACTTGAAGGTACATCCAACAACTAAACTTAAGTTCATGGTCCTCATTTCTACAGTAAATTATCAATCCTCCAGGCATATCTTTGGGGATTTATCATTGTTTAACATTCATTTGCCATCACATGATTTTTCCTTTTGATTTGTTCTTGTTCCCAGAGAATTTTCACCTTTTTCCTCTTAAAATTTAGTATAATGTTCCCCAGCCTTTTAAAAAAATGTCTTATAAAATTCTTGTCAAAGGGCTGGGGTTGTAGTTCAGTTGTTGAGTGCTTGCCTGGCATGTGTGAGGCACTGGGTTCAATCCTCAGCACCACATTAAATAAATAAATTAAACAAAGATATTTAAAAAAAATCCTGTCAAAAATATTTGCTCCATCTGCGAGAAATGACTTTTATCCCTAGCTCAGAATGTCTCTATTGGGTGACAGACCACCCAGGGAAAAAAAAAATCATGTTCAATATGTTCTGAGCATTTTCTATGTTTACTTTGCTTCCAAAGCTTCTGCATGAACAAGAGGAGAGCATAGAAATACCCCTTCATACCCAGTCACTTAATTTTGATTATTCAAGACATCAAGATTTTTGGGACACCCACTTTTCTTCAAAATGATCATATAATCAAGGACAAATAGAGAGTAGCCGGTAAATGCAAGGAAGCTTAGGACCTCATTCTGAATTTTGGGAAAGGTTACAAGGGCAAGCAGCACAATTGATATGGCACATCAGATCTGCACACAGATGATTCCACAGCAATTCATAGAGCATCACAATGATCTCATGGGACTTAGTCATGTGGTTTCTTCTGTCTGTTGGGGTACTGGTAAATCCCCAGTTACATTCCAAAACCACCTCTTATCAGCTAGAAGAAATACACTGTTAAATTTTAGGATCTTTGCAAGCTTGTTGTTAAACCTGGTCATTATTTTTTCATGGTACATTATTAACCATTAAACTATACTAAATATGAAGGGAACATACACCTGAAACTCATTTCTTACTAATTATTTCACTATGTTTTACATTGTCTATGCTCCTGAAGTTTTATAGCTATTATATCTCTATGGTCAAAATAATACATAATGGTATACATCTCTTCTCAACTCCGTGTTCAGTAACATCAAGCTGGGAATTTGAAATAGGCTATAGTGGAAATATTTACATTACAGAAATTAGCATATGTTTTAAATCAGGATTTAACTCACCCCTTTCTCCCACCAAATGACAACTGTTAGATATTAACCAATGTACTATTGGTTGTGAACCCCCTTATAATTAGGATGGAAAAACACCCAAGTACATAATAGTTATTGATTAAATTTCCCATATTTACTAAAAACTTGCCCATTCCCCATAACCTACTCTCCTTTCAATATAGTCTAACATGTCTCAAGCCAACACAATAACCCAAATAAGCTTCATATCGATTTGTGTATTTATTAGCTCTTCTCTATAAGATAAAGTCAGAAATCCATTTATATAAATCTTATATTCAATTTTCTTTGCTCAAAATTCTTGCTCTTTTACCTACATTGTCTCTTAGGCTCTACTCTGCACATGTGTGTTTCTGTGTGTGTGTGAATATCTGTGTGTATTATATAGTAGTTGCATAGTTGCTTCTGGTTGTCGAACTTTAACTTAAAGTAAGTGTAATTTAAGCCCAGCTTAGTATCTCCTAAAACACTAGAAAGGATTATTATTAGAATCAATACTTGAATTCTTGGGAGGGAATTTGGGAGGAGGTCAGCAAACATTACTAAAGGATCAGAAGACTAACCAGGAAAATGTAAAGAAAATAAGACTCCTTATGTGGCTGTGATAAGGCTAATGGGAAACTGCAAGTGATCTTGGAGAACACTCGGAATTTTATACAGAGGAGTCATTGTTCTCCATTTTCACTCAAGATAAGTCAAGAGGGATTCAATTTACAGCACTTCTATCAAAAAAAAAAAAACTTGGGAAGAATTCAGTAAGAGAAAATTGTCTTGATTTTTTTTTCCTCTTTGTTTTAATCAACCATTTTAATCAAGAATCCTGTGGAAGTTTAATATGAAAGTAGAGAGTTTCTGTACTAAAAAGTCACCAAGAAATAGTCAACGGAAGATGGGACAGCTGAATTTCCTCTTTCATAGATATGGACTTGAGCTTTCTAAATATTCTCTAAAGTTCTAAGCTCAATTGAAAATCACATTTACTAAGGACATGCATAATTAAGGGACAAGGACATAAAGATCTCAGACATATGAAACCAAATCAGACCAAAGAAACATCCTGTCTATAATTATGTTTCTGAGAATGTCCATGAGGTTTCTTTGGAGAGCATGGGAGGGCCTCCTACAAACAACTTCCCCTTTTCACTCATGTGTGTCTAATTTCATTTTGAATCAATTTATGTATTAACATGTGCAACCTCCTATGGTAACTGTTAGCTACAACCATGCTAATGGTAGATGTAGTTTCTATAGAAAGTTCTTCTAGTATCCTGGAATCTGTTAATTCTCTCTGCTTGTAATAAAATCCTTTTGAAACAGGGTATAAAAAAGTACAATCATTAATTGTTTAATGCAAGTGGTTATGATGAGTTAATAAATTAAAGCAGTCATAATTTACCTTGTTCCAATCCCATAAGATTGAAGGCTTCCAAAGGACTTCCCCAACCTCTCCAAATTTTATTCTTCATCTAAATCACTAAATTAGTTTCATTTTCTTAAAGTTGCCAGGGATATATGGAAAGAGAATATTTCCCATTCCTGGAAAGCTTTTCTTTTCTTTCTTTTGCTTCCACCATGAAGACCCCTTCCACTGACCACCTGGTGTAAGCACTATTCCTATAGCATTTTGTGGTTGTTCTTACTAGGAATATCCAGATCTCCCACTGGCTTTTCAGATCCTTGAGAACAGAGACTATGTTTTTGGTCCAAAACTGTATCCCAAGTTAGTGGACATGCAATTATGATTATTAAATCTATAAATTAAATAGATTGATGGATTTAAAAATAGCATCACCACTGCATTTCCTTACTAAAGGTCAGTCTACCAACTCTGTCCCTCTACAACTTGATGGTTAATAATGCCTAACTTCATGTATATTACAATAATCATCATTTTCTGAGTCACACTAGGACCAGGAGCTTCTCCAAATGCAGATTCATGATAATTTTTACATATGTCAGCGCATGCCTTTGCTTTCTCTCCTTGTGGTACCTGGGTTTGTGTTGAAGTTTTGGCTGGTTACATTCAGGAAATACTTATAATATCTTTGAGCTTTCTATCTTTCTATCTATCTTTTTTTCTTTCTTGTTTTTTTCAAGTTAAAAATGATCATTTAGAACTATCACCATATAAGCATTGTTTGTGGGATAGGAAAATAAGAAATGGTGAACTGAGTTTAAATTTATCTTAGGTTTGATTCTGTATGTTACCAGCAGCACAAATTTTATCTTTTTGTTAAAGAGAACTGAAAAGTCAGTGTAAAATTCAAGAACATCTTCTCCCCTAAGGGATAAAAGCCAGAGAGAAAACTTCCATTGTGATGAGTAAAATCAAACAGACCTTGATTTTGAAATAGCTTAGTCCTCAAAAAAGATGACTTTTTAAGGAAGGAGACCACAACAAGAGTGAAAAACCAGAGACAGGGACCTTGAGACCGATAGAGATTAGTTGAGGGTAAAAGGTCAGCTCTCCAGTGCTATATATAGTCCTTAGAGGGAGAACAGAGAAGGGTCATGGCAGAAAGGTGTGAATTAAGAAAACATGTTTCTGGTTTTATTAGTTTAAGTATGTGATACTTTAAGCTTGGAAAGGAACTCTCTTGAAATTAGTTTCAATAAGTATATATGTTGATATTAATTTAAAACTAGTTTTTATTTTGTAAGGTATTTTAAATTATTTTTCTGTAATAGAATTTAGGTACTTTTAGATGACATTATATGAAGTAAATTGAAATTTTAAATTCTAACTCCTGTCTGATAGATAAAATGTAGGCACTTAAAAAGATTACTTTCTGATAATTATTAGTAAAAATAATTAGATTAGAACAGATTATCTGCATAGATTGTTATAAGGAACAAGTACATTTTCTTTTCCCTTGGTATAAAAAGGGTCAAATGATACAAATCTGCCACACTTGTTGTTGATGATAGTTAAAGATTGTGATTAAAGCATAGGCCTCTTTTTCTCTACCTTTCTCTTCATAAATTTACTTTCTTAATGATTTTCATCAAAAGCTCAGAGAAAATAATATTGATTTTTATGTTAGGAGGCTTTGGAAACCAACTCAAGAGGATTGAGATACTCTCAAATTGGTTATTCTGGTAGTGATCACAGACCATAGATTGAGGGGAGAGGATAATTTAAAAGATTCTGCATTTTGATAAAAAAAAAAATACCAACTACACAAAGACCTGGCTAGAGAAACAGAGTTCAGTGGTGGTTGTACAAGAAGGCTGATCACTATCTAGGTTCATGCACTGATACTGTTTTTATTGTTGTTATTTCACCTGGTTTATTGTAGTCTATACAGTTCCATTTTTCTCTATGCCACTGAAGTTTTAGGAGCATTTGAACAGGTATCTTTTTTATTTTTTTAAACCTTGATTTTTATGTGGTGCTGAGGATTGAACCCAGGGCCTCGCACATGCTAGGCAAGTGCTCTACTGCTGAGCCACAGCCCAGCCCCTTGAAGAAGGTGTCTTGTAGAATCTTTCTTGTTTTGGATTTGTTTGATTATTACCTCTTTGTATCCAATTATTAACTTTGGGTCCTCATTCTCCTGAATTCCCTATGTACAGTTAGCTCTCAGATAGGGGTTGACAAACTTCAAACTAGGGCCAAACCCAATCCAATGCTACATCCATTTGTTTACATATTGTCCATGTTGCTTTTGTGTAGGACTGAAGAGTTGAGCAGTTGTGACACAGAAAGTATGGTCCACAAAACCACAGTATTTACAGTCTCTCTCTTAAAAAAAG